CACCCTACACCAGTGATTATGTTACAAATTTTGATTATTTTTGTAATAATAAATAATTTCATTTCATTTTTACCTTAATTCAGAAATATTTTAACAATTTCTTGACAAAAAAAAGGGATTTTCTAAAAGAGGGATTAAATGGGGTAGGGGGACCTTATAAATTTTGGTAAATGGATTTATGCCTACATTTGTTATTTATGCAGAATATCATCGTGATATTAGTGTTTTTAAGTGAATTTTGACCATTAAGTCATTTTCTGAAGGGGAATTTGTATGGGGGAGAGGGTCAAATGAGGCCCGATCATTTCGAAAATCAGCAGCATTATTAAAACTTAGATCAAACTAAGTTTTGGAGATTTTTGAAGTGATACAAGAACATTTAACAATTTATGAGCTTAAAAGCCCTATTCGGGGGTACGGTTGTATGGGGGCTATACGAAATAATGGACCGATTTTAAACATTTTCAATAGGCTTCGTCCTTGGAAGAGTATCTGCCAAATTTCATCAAATTATCTTGAAAATTGCGACCTGTTGAGTGCGCAGAAAGTTTACATGGACACACAGACTGACGGACATATCTAAATCGACTCTGAAAGTGATTCTGAGCTGATTGGTGGGTCGAAATCACAACGATGCATTGCCGAAATGCCACAAATTGTAATCGAAATGACACAAAGTGTAATAGAAATGACAACAATGTGTTGTTGCAATGACAAAGATGCGTTGTCAAAATTACAACGGTGGTTGTCAAAATGGATGGGATTTTTTCCCTCTGTGTACTTTTTGGATATTCGAAAGTTTAACAGCTGAAAATTGTACCTATTTTTGGTACTTTTTGTCATAAAATATACTGTCTTATTTATTGACTTATATATACGAATACTTAATGATGGACTGCCACTAAGATATTGCAACTTTGTGGAATACAATTTTTATTATAAGGAGAAAAGTACCAAAAGAGGGTTTAAACGTAAAATTTTATTTTATTCAATCTCTTTAATACAATTTTGACAAAATTTTCAAAAATTGCTTTAAGTATAATACTACTAAATACATATATACATATATATGATAAAATAGTCCGGTAAAGACTATTTTTCGTTCTCCAACTGGTACTTTTTACAGTTTTCTACAATATTGAAACTAGAAACATGAAATTAAGCATGTAGAGTCCGGATTAAATGAGAATCTATAAAAAGGAGACTTTTTGGTACTTTCTCGTTCTTCTAAAGTTCCTTTTTGAATTTTCTATAATATTGAATGAAGAAATACAAAAAATAAACTTCGACATTCTGAGTGAATGAAAATCTTTAAAAGGGTATTTTCTGGTACTTTTTTTCAATCTAACTTTTTAAAGTTTCTAAATTATTTTCGAATATTAAGATTATTGATATCATCGAACTGTGATATTAATATTATTAATTGAATATTCCTTCAGGCTTGAGTTCGAGTCCCACTTGAGGATAAGTTATTTTCCAAATTGTAATGATATTTTTAATTATAAGAATACTGAAAATTTTATTATTCGGACAAAAACAGCAGAATGGAATGCATTTTCGTTCCCGCTACGGCTCTTCATCAGCGATCTTCTTGTGTCATATGCTATGTCACTTGTAAACATCATCTATTAAACTCACAAGTTTTGAAGAAATGGAATATGGGAATGGAAGAAATGGAATATGGGAATTGTAACAAAGTCCTTTGAGTTTATTGAGTTATATCGAAGTTTACGATCTTTTTTCAGTGTTGTATTCTTATATATCATTAGTCTTTGTCGCTGCTTTAGCCCACTGTCAGTTAGCAATTAAGCAACATTTTTTGTTTTTGTGTGTTTTGTTTAGTTCCGAAATTCGGAATGCGATTACGTATGTTTAAAGCGCAAGCCATAGATTTTTTAGTAAAAATTTTATTACTATTAGTACACTGTATGATTGTTCATTTGACACACTGTGCCTTCAAATTCCCCATACTCTTTATTTATTCTATTCGAATTGTAGTGATTCCATTTCATACCACATAGGAAATACAGTTAAATTTTATAATCTGGCAATGGGTTGCCTTTGAAAAGTTGGTATGCAGTAGAATTGAAACAATTTTGTTTTTGCAAGGACTGTGTTTTTTGCAACAAAAAAAAAAGGAACATATGTGGAGTTATTGTACTTTTATGTAACTTCCTTGAAGTTATTTAACTAGAATGACAAAAAACGTTTACATTATTTCTGCATTTAGAAAATGGAACAAAAAAGTAGTTAAGTATAGTGAAAATGAAATAAAAAACCAGGACAATTGCTTTTAAAATTGCTTTAACATAAAACATTTTGCACAAAATTTACGATTAAAGTGAAAGAAGGAATTTTTAGCAAAATAAGTAAGAAAGTATAGTTGGGTAAGGGTGACCATATGATATCCTATTTATAATGAATTTTAGCTTAATTGCGATATTTTTAAGCAAGTTATTATAATTTTTTTCCTGAAATCATATGGTAGTTAGAGTCAAATATGGGTCGATTCTTATTTTATATATTTATATAAAAGTTATTTATGCAGATTTTCATAGGATTATTATGGACAAATGTGACCTACGTTCGAAAGAGGCCCGATCATTATCAATCTGAATCATTCAGGTATTTAATAGTGATTTAAATAGGCATAATATCCTGAACGATTCCGAGTAAATGATATATAAACGAGATTCGTAAATAAGGATCAGCATTTCTAAATTTGTTTTTACAAAAGAATTCTGGTCGAGTTACGGAAATATTTTGGGTGCATTTTCATTACTCAACCAAACAAATAGGGAATTTTACTTAGATCGAAGATTTAAGATATCACCAAAGAAAAAGTCTAAAGGTTTCAAATCAAGTGAGTTTTTCGAGCAAACGCATATTCAAGGGAAGGTGTTGAAAATCTGTCCTTTTACTCTCCAATTATTTCACCTTAGAGAAGGACAGAATGTCCACCACCGTTGGGAATTTTACATTCACCGTGGATCAAAATTGGCTACGAGAGTGTTCATCAAAAACAGAAAACGATCAATGGAAACAACAAATCCAATGGAAGCTGATATCCAAAAAACGGCTAAGTATCTGATTCGCAGAGTGGGAAGTTGAGAAGATGCCTCAAAAGGTTATATTTATTTCATCCCATGAGCTTCCGAAGAATATATAGGATTCTTTTTCAATCACTAAAAGATAAGAAGCTGAACACTGATCAAAGAGCGAAGATGAAAAAGATCTCTACTGACAAATCCAATTGGTATCTTTATCAAAGAAGTCTCCACTTAGAATCCAACGAGTGAGCCAATTAAAGCCAAGCAAGCATATCGGCCAAATCGATTAACTACACATTAAAAAGAGAAGAGAACCATCAAAGAACCCAAGATAATACAACGGGTAATCTGATGGGTTAAGGAAGAAGATATGGTCAACAATAATATGGTAGCATACACAACCAATCAATAGAGGGCGTTAGTACCGAGATCACCAGTTTTGGAATGTTTCGGCACCACATTAATACGCTAAAACACTTGGAGAGCGTGAGTAGTGAGCGGTGAATGATATTGAAATCACACTAATGTGATAAAGAATTTGGTGAAAAGCATTGCTCCACCCTGGGCAGTGTTAAGCTGGATCTGGACAAGAAAAAGTATCTTGCTGTGTTCTCGCAGGTCACTGTCGTGATAGTCTATCCTGTAGATAGTCTAGACCACAACTCCGAGGATAGCATTGCCAAGAACAGGTGTATAGTTTTTTAACTCTAAAGCTTCTTGAAAATAGGAAAGGTCATTAACTGCCTACATAAAAGGTTGTTTCAATAAATTGGCGAATTGGAAATGAATTGACATATTGGAAATGAAAGATATTTTACAGGAAAAGGACCTCGACGGCATTCTTCTTGTGGTAGTAATCGACCAGAACTTCGAGGTTAGTCTTGTCAAGAACAAATATATGGCTTATTTTGTCTCTAAAGCTGTAATCTTCAACTTGGGAAGGTGTCTATTGGAAGGGCTGTTATTACTAGTCCCGAAAAGGACAATTGTGGCGGTGTCCACAGCATAATTAGCCACTACAAAGAAGACTCAAATCCTTAAAGAGAGGAGGTGGTCAACTCACAAGAAGCTGGTTTAGCTGTCTTTTACAAAATTAAGAGGAATTGAAAGGACAATTAGCACCAGGCCCCACCACTAGCATCATTAGCCACTATAGACTAACTGGAAGAGTCAAATTCTAAGAGTCAGAACTTCGATCATTACCAACTGGCAAAAACACAGTTTCAAAATTTTAATGAAATTTTAGAAAATTTAAAGGATCAAATTTAAATCAAATTTTCTATTCTTTGCCCCAAAACATATGTATATATATGTGTGTGTAAATAGATGTTGTATACAAGTTGCAACATTTTAATAAAAGAAGCAAAATACATGGTAGTATGTAAATACTTTTTTTGCTGTTGTTGTTTTGTTTTTATGTAAATTTTGTAGTTCTTTTTTTAGCATTTACGTATTGTTTATGTGGATTGTTTTTTGTATTTTTGTTGTTATTTTCACCACCATTTTACACACCACCCTTAAAGAAACCCAAAAAATTATTTTGGCAAAGGGTATGTATGTTTTGGGGTAGTAGGAACAACAAGAAAATCATTGTACAACACAAGTATTTAAATAAATATATGAACATATTGACAAACTTTTAAAAATATAATATTTTGTTGTACTTGCGGCACTACGACGAGTAGTACTGATGTTTGTTTAACACAGATAACTATGTAGGTATGTTCAGTTCGAAATTCTGAATACAAACGATATGTGTAAAAACGACTACGACATCAAATTGAAAAAAAAAAGCGAGTAAAACGAGGAGTATGCGAGCCACACACTAAATGTTGTTTCCACCATTTAAGAAAATCAATATTATTCAAAGTTTATATAACTTCACTATATCTAGGAATACTTTAACACTTAAACACTATTAAATAGAAATAAAATTCATAGAAAACTTACCATTTTGCTAAAATCTTTAACATTTTCCACAGCTGTTGAAGTTGAGGTTTGCTTGTCAACTCCCGTAGCTGTTGTTGGAGTAGGAGTTGTTGTCGATGTTGTTAATGTTGATTTTGATGAAGTCTTAAGACCATCACCTTGATCTTTTGTTTTGGCTACATCATGTAATGATGAAGATTTTATATTTGCTGCCAAACATATTTTATCTTTTGAGGAATCCGTTTTGTTATTCCAACTAGAGTTATTGTTATTATTATTATTGTTATTTGTGGAAACTTTAAAATTTCTACGCAACGACAGTGACCGTTTGATTAATGTGGGTTCCGCCACATTAGCGTCCGTTTGTGAGATTAATGCCAGCTTTCGTCTAGTACTGAATTGTAGTCCACCGGTCGCAATAGCCGTAGTTGTTGTTTCGTGGGTGTTTTTACTGGTATTGCTGCTATTGCTGTTGTTGTTGCTGCATTTCTCCTCATTTACAGTGCATGCATTCGTCGTAGTCGGTGTTTCATTTATGGTTGGTTCCATGATGAGTGGTAAATTTGATTTTGCACCACGCAAACGCACTGAAGAGGAACGTTTGAAATTGTAATGTTTTTGTTGATGATTCGATGACGACCAAAGTGTTGCCAAAGGATATGGTATTTTTGTTTTGGGCGCTAAGGTTGCTAAATTATTGGATCTTGGTAGTATATATGTCCTAGATGAGGAACAGTAGGAGATTGGTAGTGGTAGTAAAGACGTATGTTTGGATAGTTTTGTGTTAGCTGGTGCAGTTGTTTTATTGTTATCTATTGTATTGTTAATTGGGTTAAAGACAACGACGTCTTTTATTATTATATCTTTACAGGTGTTGTTGCTGTTGTTAGCGTTGTTATTGTCGTTAGTATTTGTTTCTATCTGTAGGTTTTTTAGCACAGTTCGATGATCTATTCGAGGATATGTCGACGTTGCCAACGATGACATCATTTTAAATTACTGTTATTTTGTAACTGAAATGAAGGAATTAAAAATGGTAGAAGGAAAATTTAATTAAAACTATTTGCATACAATTAAAGAGAATTATTTAACTAAATATTGGTTACATTTAAAATGATTTAATAAATAGTAACCATATAAATGGATAAAACTTGACTATAGACTGGACTATAGAATATATGATAGACTAGAGCAGACTAAAGACTATACTATAGACTAGACTGTTGACAAGACTATAGTCTATGCTATAGACTAGACTATATTCTAGACTACAAGCTTAACTATGGAGTCTATAGACTAGACTATTGACTAGACTTTAAACTAGACTATAAACTAGACTATAAACTAGACTATAGACTGGGCTATAGACTAGACTATAGACTAGACTATAGACTAGACTATAGACTAGACTATAGACTAGACTATAGACTAGACTATAGACTAGACTATAGACTAGACTATAGACTAACTATAGACTAGACATAAATAGACATATAAACTAGACTATAGACTAGACTATAGACTAGCCTATAGACTAGAACTATAGACTAGCTTAGAGACGAGACTATAGACTAGACTATAGACCTAGACTATAGACTAGACTATCGACTAGACTATAGACTAGACTATAGACTAGCCTATAAGACTAGACTATAGACTAGCTTATAGACTAGACTAAGAGACTAGAACTATAGACTAGACTAGAACTAGACAAATATAAAGACATAAGACTATAGACTAGACTATATACCTAGACTATAGACTAGACACTATAGACTTAGACTATAGACTAGACTATAGACTAGACTATAGACTAGACTAGACTAGACTATAGACTAGACTATAGACTAGACTATAGACTAGACTATAGACTAGACTATAGACTAGACTATAGACTAGACTATAGACTAGACTATAGACTAGACTATAGACTAGACTATAGACTAGACTATAGACTAGACTATAGACTAGACTATAGACTAGACTATAGACTAGACTATAGACTAGACTATAGACTAGACTATAGACTAGACTATAGACTAGACTATAGACTAGACTATAGACTAGACTATAGACTAGACTATAGACTAGACTATAGACTAGACTATAGACTAGACTATAGACTAGACTATAGACTAGACTATAGACTAGACTATAGACTAGACTATAGACTAGACTATAGACTAGACTATAGACTAGACTATAGACTAGACTATAGACTAGACTATAGACTAGACTATAGACTATAGACTAGACTATAGACTAGACTATAGACTAGACTATAGACTAGACTATACTAGACTATAGACTAGACTATAGACTAGACTAGACTAGACTATAGACTAGACTATAGACTAGACTATAGACTAGACTATAGACTAGACTATAGACTAGACTATAGACTAGACTATAGACTAGACTACAGACTAGACTATAGACTAGACTATAGACTAGACTACAGACTAGACTATAGACTAGACTATAGACTAGACTACAGACTAGACTATAGACTAGACTATATACTAGACTATAGACTAGACTATAGACTAGACTATAGACTAGACTATAGACTAGACTATAGACTAGACTATAGACTAGACTATAGACTAGACTATAGACTAGACTATAGACTAGACTATAGACTAGACTATAGACTATACTATAAACTAGAATATAGTCTAGACTATAGAAAACACTATAGACTAGATTATATACTAGACAATAGACAATATTATAGACTAGGCTATAGAATAGTTAATAACCTAGACTATAACCTAGACTATAGACCAGGCTATTGACCAGATTATTGACTAGATCTAAACTAAAGATTAGAATATGGGCATTTCCACCGAAAAGTATATTTTTTGTCACATCACGTCACGCACATTAATTGACAATATCTTAGGACCATTCTTTTTTATTGGTCGCAGCTTTATCCTATGCATAGAGCTATTAGAACTCTACATAAAAATATAAACAAAATAAAAATATATTGTTTCCATAGATATAAGCAGTTAATTGTGCGCGACGTGATGTGACAAAAGTTGACTTTTCGGTGGAAATGCCCATATATAATAGAATACACTATAGAATAGACTATAGACTAGGCTATAGACTACTATGTGGACTATTTATCGAAAGTTCTTAAGTTAGAATATCTACCGAAAATGTCGTGGAGGTATGTACATCCATGGGTAACTAACTAAGTAACTAGCTAACAAACTAACTAAAAGATAGTCTAAAAGTATGGGTTGAAAAAGACCAATTATCAAGTACATTTAAACCCTAATACTTCCCTTTGTTTCAAAAAAAGGAAATGAATAATCTCAAGTACATCATTGAAAATGCTCTCAGCCATATAAAATATACATATAATTTAATCTTACTTTCTTTTTATATCGAATGAATATAAAGCTTACTTTTAATAATTAATCTTAAACATAAAGTTATTAAAACTAATAAAAAAAATATAAACAAGAAATTGTTTACATTTCACTGAACATCAACCATCCATTCCAGCTACAATTTACCGCATGGCAAACAAACAAAAAAAAAATAACAAACTTAAAGAGAAGCAGCAGAGAAGAAAATCTACATCATCAACGTTATTACAAGTAAAACAAAAAAATGTGTAAAATATCGGGGCTCAAACACATAATAAATCTTGGCAAAAATATTGATGAACAAATGTTCATATGTACGAGCGTTTGAAAGCATTGTATTCGTGTTAAATACATAATTTACTTTCATTATAAAGTTTAGACTTAAAACATGTTCAAATAGTTTTATTTTCTTTAAGTATTTGTTATTTAAAAAGTGAAAATAAATTAGTTTTAATTAAGCTTTCAAAATTAATTTCAAATATAACCATAGTTTCTAGGCGGATTTTAAATATGTGAAAATTTTTAGCTAAAAGTTTGCAATAATTAAAGAGAATTAACAAAACAAGTTAATTATGCTTAAAAGAGCGGCAAATGATGCTTGAATAAGAGTAATGGAATGAGGAATTTGTTTAAGGAAAATCTTAACTAATTTAAATAGTTTATAAACAAATGATGAAAGCTAAATTTCTCAATACAATTGTTTGATAAAACTATTTAGTATTAACGCTTGCAGTTGGTCGCTTACATTGTAATTTGTTAATTTTACATTTTAGGTCTATTTATCATTAATTACACGTACTCATATTTTTACACTAAATTGAAAATTTAACATTAATTTAACTATAAATAAAACGGAAGTTGGCTAAAGTTTATAAACACTATATTTTTAAAGTTATTAAGGTTAATTTGTTGTTTTTTTTTTTTTAATTTTGAACTGCGAAAACACAATAACAAACTAGACCCAAAACAAAATTATTCAAACAGTTAAACAATTGTATAAACAATTTGTTGTTATTGCATGTACTAACACAACTAGTAGATACAAGTAAAAATTACATAATATCTCATGTTTGTACTAAACTTGTTTAACTATAATTTACCCATCATACTAAATGTTTAGTACCTACAAGTAGTTTTTTAACAACACTTTCTTCAATATTTTTGGTTTAAATTATTTAACTTTATTATTGCGGTTTTTATTATTAACAGTTAAATGTTTCTTAAAAAAATTACATAAAATTCTATGAAAATAAATGTACTAAATATTTATTTACAAAAGATTCTGAGAATTTTTCACTAAAGATTAACAGTGTAGTTTTTATTAAGAGCAGAAATCAAATGAAAGGTCTTTCAAATATCTTTCTTTTTGGTATACAAACATACAAATAAACATTTTGTTATTTCTAATAAATAATACTAAAATCTCATGTAATTTATTATCCGATAAGACTTTTTTTAAAATAGCCACCAACAGGCATTCTGAATGCATCTCAATTGTTACACTCAAAAGAAAACACAGATAGTGTTAAAGTATTTGACATTTGACATTATTGCTTAAAACAAATTGATTTGAGACCGTTGACGGCATCTGATTAGAAATTCAGCGCTTTTTGAGAAAAGAAACTGCACTAAATTATATGAGTTTTCCACAGTGTATACAAAGTTTTAAAAACACCTTTTATAATTTAAATTAACGCATGTATGTTGAAAACAACTTTCCGAAAAACCTCAAAAATGGACTCAAATCCAAACTTAATCAATTTCATTAAAGTTTTAGAATAGTGGTAATAAGACCCAGAGGAGACGTGCTAGAAGTTAAAATGTTTGGAAATAAAATCGATTTTTAACTATAGAATTCTCAACTAAAGTCTGGGCTATTGATTGATTTAGACTATAGACTAGTTTATACACAATAGGCTGGACTATAGACTAGACTATAGACTGGACTATAGACTAGACTATAGACTGGACTATAGACTTGACTATAGACTAGACTATAGACTAGACTATAGACTAGACTATAGACTAGACTATAGACTAGACTATAGATTAGACTATAGACTAGACTATAGACTAGACTATAGACTAGACTATAGACTAGACTATAGACTAGACTATAGACTAGACTATAGACTAGACTATAGACTAGACTATAGACTAGACTATAGACTAGACTATAGACTAGACTATAGACTAGACTATAGACTAGACTATAGACTAGACTATAGACTAGACTATAGACTAGACTATAGACTAGACTATAGACTAGACTATAGACTAGACTATAGACTAGACTATAGACTAGACTATAGACTAGACTATAGACTAGACTGTAGACTAGACTATAGACTAGACTATAGACTAGACTATAGACTAGACTATAGACTAGACTAGACTAGACTATAACTAGACTATAGACTCAGACTATAGACTAGACTATAGACTAGACTATAGACTAGACTATAGACTAGACGATAGACTAGACTATAGACTAGACTATAGACTAACTATAGACTAGACTATAGACTAGACTATAGACTAGACTATAGACTAGACTATAGACTAGACTATAGACTAGACTATAGACGAGACTATAGACTAGACTATAGACTAGACTATAGACTAGACTA